GCTCCCATCGTCCCCCGGATATCCCCGTGTTCCTGCCCCCTTCTCCCAGATTCCCTTGGGCCTGGCTGCCCCCCATCATCTAATTCGCCATCGGGCCCGCCCTGGGTGTGTCTCCTCTCCCTGCCCTTTTACCCGAGTCCAGCATGGATCCCCTAGCCTGGCACAGCCCCGTCTCAGGCCCCTCGCTGCTGCTAGCAGGCCTGTGCCCCGTGTGCCCAGGCCCCGCTCCCTCCCAGAGACCAGGAGAGGCCCCAGGAGTCCTGGCTCCCGCCCGCCTCTTTGGGCTGGTACTTTCTAGGCCGTCCGGACCAGTGGCGAAATTTCGCAGTTGTGTCCAAGTGACACCACAGAAATGACATGTGTTGGAGCGATTAATGATGCCTTGTAGCTTGAGGCTTTTACAAATTGTAAGTCAGAGCCTGCTGAGGAAAACAGGAAGTAGCAGAGACTCTCCGATAAGGCGGCGGGTGGGGGGGGAAGGAATTTCAGTAGCACTTTGCTAAAGACACACACTAAAGTTGTGTTGAGTACATCCAAAGTGGGAAACCTGCCAAACGTGCAGTGGGGCCACCAGACGACAAAGGTGTGAAAGGCGAGCTCCAGGAAGGCAAGGCCATTACAGAAAAGCCAGATGAAGTGTTTGCTTTGGTCTGAGTGGCTTGCGTCACTGCTCTTGTTGAGCAAGAAACCTGAAGTAGTCCTGCGAAGGGATGTGTCAGAAGAGGTTTTAAAACAAAGTGATCACTAACCAGTAATAAATTACTAGAAGTAGCTGGGCTAAAGGGACTTGGACATGAAATTACAGAACTGCAAAATGAAATGTAGTCTCATGCTTAAGCTAGCCTCTGGCCTAGATGATTGGAAGGTAGCTTCTGTAGCACTGATATTTAAAAAGGGTTCTTTGGGCAATCCTGACCAGTAAGCCTACCTTTGGTACTGTGCAGTTTGGTAGAAAAAGCATATTAAAGAAAAAAAATTTGCCTGACATAAGGAAAATACAGCTCGTTGATGGCGAGTGAACATGGCTTTTGTAAAGGGAAATCGTGTGATTTCTCCTTGGATGCAAGGAGAGGGCCTCTTGCAGGTCAAACGGCTTGAAACTTGGAAACAGTGGGAATAAATGGTCAGTTTTTCCACTGTAAAGCCATGAGCAACAGAGTCCCCCAAGGATCTGCCCCAGATCTTTAATGAAGATCTGGAAAAGGGGGTAATCAGTGAAGTGCTATCATTTGTGGACAATACAACATTAGTCAGCATGGTTCTGTGTAAAGCAGAGATGTTAAAAATTGGGTAATAGGGTAACCCTGTAACTGCTGAAAAATCTGGTAGCTTTATACTGCAGAGTCCGCAGTGAAACCTCTCCAGGACTGGGGCTGCCAGCCCAGCTCCAGGGGAGGAGGCCTTGAGCAGCAAAGAGACCTGCCTGGGTAGCTGAGTGTAACTGACACCATTAAACATCAGCTTATTGGTTAAACGGTTAGTCATTTTCACTCGAATATCCATAGTGTAAAGTAGATTGAGGACTTACCCAGGTTTCTGAGATCTGTCTAACAAAATATAGTTGAGTTTCATCTGCTAAGTAGTATTTGGGAACAGATAGTCCCAGTGATGAAGTCTCCATTGGCCATTACCACCCACAAACAAGGTCTTGGAGCCACTGTGGCTAATTCTCTGTAAACTACAGCATGATGCTCAGCTGCAGTCAAAAAGGCTGAGGGACTGTTAGGAATGAGAGAAAAGGTAAAACATACCATAAAGGCACTCTGTAAATCCATGGTGCACCTGTAACTTGAACACTGTGTCCAGTTCTGGTTGTCCCATCTCGGAAAGTATCCAGGAGAACTGGAAATAGTTCAGAGAAGAGCAGCAAAGATGATCAAGGATATGGAATGGCTTCCATCCAAGGGGAGACAAAAAAATGAGAGATGTTAAGCTTAAAGAAAGAGACCATGATGGAGGGAGAGCATAAGATACAGAGCTGACCAGTCTGAAGTGGTGTGCCCACATACAAAAGCGAGAGGTGACCTAATTAAATCAATAGGCTTAGGACAAAGAAGAAGTCCTTTTTCACACAAGACAGAACTAATCTATGGAACCTGTTGCCGCGGGGAGAGTGATGGCCAAAAGTATAATGGAGTTAAAAAATACTGTGAAAATTGGAGGGATCCATCAATGGCCATTAACCAAGATGATCAGGGGTGCAACAGCGTGATTGGGACAACCCTTATCTTTGGACTAGTCAGCTGTGGAAGACAGGAATGGATCACTCCACCGTTGCCCTTTCCTGCTCTCTCTCCCTGAAGTTCTGGAACAGAAGGGGGTAGATGGTCTGACCCGGTATGACAGCTGTCACACTCATCTCGACTCTGGCTCAGGCTGAGTCAGCTAACAAGGGAGATGCAAACCAATGGGGAGCAGACCCCACCTTTGAAGAGGGTATTTAACCCCCAGCATTACGGGGGGGACTGAGGCAGTAGCAGAGCTGGCTTCTGGAAGTCATCTTGAAAACCCCTACCTGCATGGGTGCAGTTGAGCAGGCTAGATTCTGGTGATTAGCAGGCTAAAGGCCTTTCCCCAGCTCTGATGCAGAGAACACCTGGGTTCTTCTAGGGAAGGAAACAGAGGAGCCAGACAGACATGGTGCAGGGCTAGGAAACAGGAGGATTCCTGGGTTTTCAGTCCCAGGCTGCGTGGCCTCAGGTCTGCTACCATCCTGCTGCGTAGTGGGACATCTGTCCCCAGAGCAATCTCTGCAGCTCCTTTGAAGCTCAGGTCTTGCTGATAGGATGCCCTTGTCCAGGGCAAAACAGCTGGGCTTTGGTCAGGAGCTCTCAGCCCTGGACTTGCTGCCACAGCTGGGGCTGAGAAGCCTTATCTGGATTCTGAGCGGGGAGCAAACAGCTGCCCAAGCACTGGCAAGGACAGGTGCCTGCAGTTTGTGGGGCTGGGACGTGTGGAGGGCTCAGGGAAGGCTGAGGACTGAGAAGACCCTGGAAGAGCTGGGGGTACCCTCCTAGGGGAGGTGTAGAAGGAAAATACGCGGGGCTGCCGCCTCCTGTGCAGAACCAGAGCTGTGAATGCCAGGGGGAGTGGGGCTTGCAGGATTTCAGGCAGGGCCTGGCTAGCTTGTTCTGGCAGTCCGGCTATCCCAGGAGGCAGAATAATGGGACTGTGATGTCATAGAGGGAACTGCGATGTCATGGGTGGGCTGTGCCAGCAGTTCTGCTGTGCTGTCCCGGCGCGAGGGTGTTTGATTTGCCTAGCACAGTCTGGGACAGCGTTTGCGCCCTGCCTCGCCTTTCCTCGGGGCAGCGCAGGGGTTCAGGCAGGCAGCAGAGCTCCCCTCGGAGCAGGCGCCGAAAGGCCAGGGCTCGGTGGGTAAAGGTTGCAGGGGTGGCCGGGTTCACTGGTTATTTATTGACGAGCCAGGGTTTGGCTGCTTACTGACCTCACCCCAGGGGTCTTGGTGACACAGGGGGCGGGCTTTCCGCCTGTTTGGTTCCCCTGCCGCAATTGGATGCTTTCGGACCATCCCTGTAAGCTCAGTCACACCCGCGTGAGTTCACCTACCACCACTGAAACCGAGCGCCCCTCGGGGCTGACACGGGTGGCAGCAGAGGCCAGCCCGTGTGCTCCAGGCTAGGCTGCAAGAGGGCCTGCGCCGGGGAGCCACTGAACTCAGCCTGGTAGGCAGAGCACGGCCATCCCCCCCCAACCTCCGCCCTCCTGGTTCTTTCTCTTTCACTTTCCCGTCCCTGGGCCCACAGGCTGGGCTCGTGGCTGGCCCTGGATCCGCTCTCCCGACTTCCTCTGCCCAGTGGAGTCAGAGCCCAGGCTGACGTGAGCCAGGGGGTGGGTGAGCTCTGCCCCGTCTGAGCCTCCCCCACACACCAGGTGCCGACCTAGTTTGGAACCTTGCGCCGACTCCCCACGCCTGGGGCGTAAACACTGAGTCCTGCCCTGATTCCAGCTTGGGAGCCGAGTCCCGGCTGTCCCTGTTCCTCTCCCCAGCTGGGGCTGAGACGACAGGCTGTGGGAAGCGATTGTGGCTGTGCCCATGGGGCCTGAGCAGTGACGTGCTGTGGGCCAGGCCTTGGAAGCGGGGGGCTGAGGGGATCACCTGCTTTCTGGAAACTAGGACCTGGTAGCTCTTGTCCTGGCAGGATCTGGCGCTGTCCCAGACTGACGATCCCTTCGCGGTGTCTTGGCAGTGGGCGGATTCCTCAGCCTGGCAGCAGAGCAGCCTTTGCTCTGCTCCTGCTAAAGGTGGCAGGAGATCCAGGCTGGGCTCAGGCGCCCCCCACTTGCTACCATCACTTGGCACCAGGCTTGTTTGGCCTGGGCACGCTGGGCTGGCTGGCGCTGCTGGGCTGCACGCGAGCATCCCGAGGGGGAACCCCCGACAGACAGTCACTCTGCAGCCTCTGGGCATTGCGGTGCTTAGCCAGCGCCCCAGGGCCTGTGCCCACAAGAGGTGCCTTGGGCTGATTGTCCCATGGATGAGCCACCTTCCCGGGCTGAGCGCGTACACCAATCCTGGGATCAAACTCAGCCAAGGCATCAGGCCTGCCCTGTGCTTCTCAGGGAGGGGCAGCCCTAGACCTGTGTCCCCGTGTCACTGCATAGGGCAGGGCCACGGCCTCAGTAAACGTGCTGTAAGCCAGGCCCAATCCCCCGCCCTGTCCCTTCACCCCCTTGAGCCAGAGCCTGGGCTGGCGTGTGCACACAGGCTGCTGGGTGGGCAGGGAAGACCTGCTCTTGGTTACAGCGCTGCAGGGATTCACTCCTGTCTGGCCCCCGTGGATCAACCCGGTGAATGAGGGAGGGAGCGACCTAGGGCCAGGGAGCAAGAAGCCTCCCTGCCCAGCGCCGATCCCGCCCGGTGACGGCCCTGCCTGGGGACGTCATTAGGGGCACTAATGGAAGCCTTGAACAAAGGCACTTTCCAGCTGCTCTCGCCTGCCAAGTGGAAGTCCCCGGGGAGCTGGGCTCGCTGGGAGCCTGTGACTAGCCCTGCAACAGCCTGCAATAATTGCACCAGCTAGACTTCGGGCCCAGAGCCCCGGGCAGGGGGATGAGGCGGCAGACGCTTGAGAGGTTTGCACAACAGCGGCACGGCTCCTGCACGGTCCTCGGGAGCCAGGCTGAGCGCGAGGTGGAGGGAAGCCCGGTAGCTCGCCACTGGGGGAGGAGATCTTGACGGGCAGCTCCCTGGTGAGTCAAATCTCCCTGCACAGCAGGGGCTCCGAGCCAGGTTGCGGCTGGCTGTGGCGGTCGGGAGCCGGCAGAAGGCTGCAGCCCAGGCGTGGGGCGGAGATGGAGCTCACCGCGCCAGGCACGTCACGGCCCGCGGCCTTCGCCCAGCGGTGTCACCTTTCCCTCCCGAGAGTGGTTCTTGTGTTTCCTTATTCTGTGCCCCAGAAAGCACCCTGCCACGCCTGGCTCCCTGCCCGCCGGGGTAGGGTGAGGTGGGCTACTAGTGCCAGCTGGGGGAGGGAGGTTGCTCAGGCCCCCAGGCTGGGGGGGTGTCTCCAGGCAGGGCTCTCCGGAATGAGCTGGGCGCCGAGGGCTGTGCCTGGGGAGCTGGTCCTGGCAGCAGGGCCCCGCTGTGGTGGTCTGATGCATCCCTCTGCCCTGTCTTTCCCAGCTGGTGAAGCTCCACGAGGCGAAGGCGTGTCCGACCCACCAGCCGGCGCCATGGATGTGTTCAACCGGAACATTGACTTCAATGCGCTCTTCAAGTTTTCCCACATGTGAGTGTGGGGCTCCCTCCCCGGCCCTGATCCCCCTGGGCAGGAGTGGGTCCTAGTGGTTGGAGCCTGGGAGCCAGAATTCCTGGGTTCTTGCCTGGCTCTGCCCCAGAATCACTTGTCGGGGTGGGGCTGCAGGGCTTTGGGGCTCCCAGACTGGCCTCTCCGCCCATCCGGGCTGGGGGTCAGCCGGGCAGCTGGCTGAGCAGCCCTGGCAGTTAGCCAGGCTGGGCTGTGGGGCAGCTCTGAACTCTGGGGGCTGCTGACTGGCTCCTTTCTGCCCCCCAGCTCCGCCTCCACCCAGCAGCACCTGAAGAAGGTCTATGCCAGCTTTGCTCTCTGCATGTTTGTGGCTGGGGCCGGCGCCCTCCGCCACGGGGGGGCGC